TCCTCACTCTAGTCATATTCACAACGTATGAATAGATTTAGAAGTAGTCACTGTTCAGCAGCAGTGGTCACGGTGCAGAATAGCACAAGCCACTGCTATTCTAAATGCTGTAGCAGCTGTCCATGCTTTTTCTACCAGCTGCCTGCTAGGTTGAGTCAAGATACCAACTCAGGTGGAAAGCATAATAGTATGATTTTGCTTCAAAATCTGGAGTGAAGACCATGCATAAATATAAGATTTAATAGATTTTAATTTTATTAGTGTTCTGCACTTTTAAAAATATACTTTGAAAAATGGGCTTATATATTGCATTTGTCATATATAACTAAAATTATTCAAAATAGAATTCTTTAACAAAATGATACAGAACTCAATAATTACCCTTAAAATATTTATTATATATTTATAATTATGATTCAGTAATACATTTTATCTTTATTAAGCTTTGATTTAGATTCTGTTGACTTGTATGACTAGAACTTTGTTTTTCTTATATAAAACAAAGTATTAGACTAGATTATTTAATACTTTCAACATGAAATTCTATGATTCTAAATGTTTTAAGTTTTACGAGATACACAGAATACTTAAACTACAGCTTAGAAGAGATCTTAAGTTACACGTGAGTGTAGGTAAGATGCCAAAGGATAAGGTGGGAGAATGAATGTCAAAATTTTGTATCCCTGTTCATCCTTTTAACAAACTTTAAGAAGTCTAGAACTAAGAATCCTAGGAAACTAGAAAACTGCACAATGTTGACCAGAAAAAGGGATTTTCAAGAGGAAAATTCTCAGTTCATGCCTCTTAAGGACAACATACACATCTCTCTGGCTTTTACTCTACTGCTTATTCCAGTTTTGATAATAAAGTTTCATAATCATCTGAACCTTGCAAAATCAGAGTAATAGCTACTTAGTCTTCCACAATGATTTTCTTGAGGATTTAATGATGTGATGAGTTAGGAAGTACCCAGTAAAACTTAAAATATTCAGTGAGTTAAATGATTACACAAAGGTGGATGAGAATCTTAATGAGATTATTGAATTTGGTAATTTGAATTTGAATTGAAGTATGAAGAGGGAGACCTTGAAGGCAGATTAAAACAAAGTTGGGGCCATGGTATAAATACTGAGTCTAGTCATGTTTGGCAAAATACGCGTGATAAGAGAGAGATGCGCTAGCATGTTTATTTCTTACATTCCCATTATAGTTTCTTCCATTCTTGTTGGTGTTTCCTTCTAAACCAGTAGATATAGGGCAAGATCTACAACAGCAATTTTTTTGTTTTGTTTTGTTTTGTTTTGTTTTGTTTTGTTTTGTTTTGAGACAGGATCTCATTATGTAGTTCAGTCCGGCCTTGAACAGTGGTCCTCTCAAATGCCAAGATTACAGGCATATGCTACCACACTTGGTTACAACAGCAATTTTAATAAGTAACTTTGTGGATAAATACTTGCAGAGTGACTAGAGGATGTAACTGGTCAAGAAAAACTTTGTGGTATGGATGCACACATGGCTGTGTATTTAAGATGTAGGAGACTGATACATGTTCATAGGTTGAAGGGAAAATTTGGAAAGGCTTTGGTTTTTGTAAGGAAATATAAAAGGACAGGATCTAGAGCCACAATTGAAAAAGCTAATCTTATTGGTAAAAGACCCTTCCCTGCAAAAAAAAAAAAAAAAAAATACCAGACCCAGGAGGTTTTTACATTTGAATTTCTTAAAACTTCCGGCCCCATATAACTATTCAGAACGCAGAGAATTATTCCTGGTTCTTTTTACAAAGTCCGCATAACATGATAGCAAAATAGAGTAAAACCACAGATGAGTTTCACACAAAAGTTGTTGCAAACATTGCCTAATAAACTATTAAATAAAATCTAGCATTACATAAACAGAATAACTCCGTGACCAAGTGAGATTCATTCTAGGAAAGCAGTGATCACATTAATTCATATTAGTGGTATACGGGTATGACTATTTTTAAGGATACTAAAAAAGGGAAGAAGAGGATTTCAACATTTATTTCAACCAAAAATGCTTAGTAAAACAAAAATAGAGATACTCCAAAGATTTTATTATCTCATGCTAGAGGCCAACATTTTCTTACTAGAAATGATAAAATACTAAAATACCTTATTTTAATATTTAGTAACATGTTGAACTCCTATTAAAAAGTTATAAATTAAAAAAGATACGGCCAAATATATGTAGTGTATTTGTTTTATTCTCACTTTCAGGCTGGCCTTGAACTCATTGTGTACCCCAACCTGGCCTCAAACTCACAGCAGTCCTCCTGCCTCAGCCTCCCAAAGTATGTGGGATTACAGGCATGCACTACCACATTAGCCTTTTTCAATATATGTTTGTGAAACACAGTGATTCATTGAGCTTGGAGTTTGATGTATATACATAAAGTATCTTGACCATTTTTATTCCCCTGCCCTTCTTCATGCCCTTTTTCCTCTCCAGATCTTATTCCATCTTTATTTGAATCTTCCTCTCTAACATGGGTCTTTTATTTTGCATGTTCACTTTTTTATATTTTGGGTCTCTCGTGTGATAATCAAACCATGTGATATTTAAGCCTTTGTGACTAATTTATTTCATTTAACAGTATGGGTCTCAGTAGCCATCCATTTTCCTACAAATGACTCAAATTTATCCTTCTTTATGGCTGAGTAGTACTCCATTGTGTACATTTACCACATTGTTCATTCATTTGTGGATGGGGGTTTAGACTGATTCTGTGTTTTGGCTGTTGTGAGTTGTGCTGTTACAAACATGGATGTGCATGTATTACTGTAGAATGATAAATTTAGCTATTTTGGGAAGATACTAAGAGAGATATAGCTGGGTCAAATGAAATTTCTGTTTTTAGTGTTTTGAGAAATTTTCAAACTGTTATCCAAAGTGGTTAATACTGGTTTATATCCCCACCAATAATGTAGTATGACATTGTCTTGGGAATGCTGACAAATATAATTAGACAAAAACCAAAACATTTACATAATGATCTTTTGAAAAAGAGGAGGCAAACATTATTATTCATTGATGACATTGTGTATCTGGAAAAACCAAAATAACTTGTTACTATAGTGAAATAGTGAAATTTTAGTATGAAGGCTAGCTACAAATTTAAAATACATAATAATATTTTCTGTGAAGTGTTTTGTTTGCTTTCTGAACAGTACACCAGTTTAATCATACCTCTTCATTTGGAATGAAAAGAATTTTCAAAGTTGTAGAGCGAATACATTTAGGAAATAATTTTTTAAAAATTCCTTAGGCTTGTGATACTTGTATTACTTAGTAATGTCAGGGAACATGTAATATGATCTTTGAGCCATATTTGGTAAATAATAATTTTGTGTGGAACCCACTGTTCTATCAGTAAGAGGATAATTACTGCCCATATATAAGGCTTTTCTTTGCTGTTAAAGCATTTCCTGATGTACCAAGTTATGGCATGTATTGACTGCTTTTTTGTATTTTAAGATGCTGTCTTCTAGTATTTGTAACAGTTTAATAAGAAGTGTGTTGAAACAAGTATTTTCTTCTTAACCCCAGGAGAAAAGTAATCTGTCTTCTGGTTTAGGATGAATTATCTTTATATCTTAAATGTAAATTTTTGTATTTTTATCATCTGCTCTCAGAATTGAGCAGTCTCATGTACTAACTTATGTAGCTGTTCTGAAGTCAGTATTATATCTATCAGGATATGATGTAGTTGACTTAGTTAAATCTTAAGCATAGTTGTTCTTTTAGCATTTATAAAAATGAAAACATGAATACTCACATGTTAAAACAACAGGTGAGTGGATTTCATTGTTTTATAGTGGAGAGAAATGTATTTTGGATACCCATTATGTGCCAGGCTGGTAGGTGCTTTATGTACTTCCTTTAAAATCTCATGATGGTCCATTGAGATGAGCAGTAATTCGTCACTTCTAGAAAGGAAATCTCTGTAGAGTATAATTGAAAGCAATGCCAAAATCAGATTTAAACCTAGGTCTCTTTTCTTCTTGAATTCTTTTCTGTACATGTCATCAAGGTGGAAAGTTTACATTTTTCAGAAAAAAAAATTTTTAGTCTCTTGTTGTATTGCTAGTACTACAAAAACAGGAAGTTAAATTCTTTGAATCCCTGTCGTTGCTGTGTGTGTGTTTTGTCCTGTTGTACTTTTCACATTTGACAACAGCAAAGAATTTAGTTTATTTTGACTGCTATAGAATTTGTTTCTTAGAAAAACTCATAAGGGTACCAATCTGCAAGCATAAGGACCTCATTTCCAGACCCTAGAAACCTAATTAGTACAGCAGTTTACCACTTTTAGGGTTCTGCAATTGGTTTTTGTTTTTATATGGGCCTAACAATTTTTTTTAAAGTCATTGAATCTATTTTGGTAATGGAAAAAAGAATTTCCAGTGTGGTTGAAAACCACATCTTATGAGCTGTTCTTTGCCTCCCTCTTTAAGAATTGCCAAGGACTTTTTTAAAAATTGAAACTTGAAGTTCATTTCATTTCTTGGATTTATCTAAAGCATTTAAGAAAACCCTGAGAATTGATCATAGAAAATTATGAAAGTGGTTAAAAAATAACAAGTACAATAGCAAAATAGCTGTAATATAACCAGAAAATTAGGACTTTATAATTCCAGTTTTACCAATGAAAACAGATTTTGTTGTTTTTCTCTGATAGTTACTCTGATATTCTGTTAGACAAGCTGTTGTTAAAAGCCATTAGAAACTGCATAAAAGCTAATTTCTAGAACTGAGAATCTAAACTAGATTTGGGTAGATTAAGAGAATGCCATAACTAAAGCTATTTGCTTTTTCTCTGGTACTTGTCATTTAAGAAACCCTTTTTTTCTTCACAGTATTTTATGTTAGAGAATTTAGTTGCTACTTCATTGCTGTTAGATCTTAACCATGTTATCTGGTCACATTTCCTACTTTGCCTACCTGTAGTTTACTCTAGTTTCTCTTCTGCTTTCAAGGCTCCAGACCCAGTTCCTGGACCTGCCCTGGAAAAGAAGTATCCGGTAGAGATGAGCTCACTGCAGTTACTTAATTAAAAATTTGTAAGCTGCAAAAATGGCAGTGGGCCAGCCAAGAACAGCTACAATTTGAATTTTTCTATTTCCAGGTATGCTAAAGTTCATGGCACCATTCAAGATTAGCTTTGTAACTGCGGTACTATGAAATCTATAGTAACTACAACTTTACTTTTAAAACTGTATAGTCTTCTTGCTTTAAACATAGTAGCATTCTTAACATTTAGGTCATTAGTTGATAGTATTAACTTTAACATAACTTTTGCCTGAATATTTCTAATTTAATTCATTTGCAAAAGCAGTTTTCAAAAAATAAATTTGAAATTCTATTGTTAACCCTTCTAAATGTACAAAATGTATTCTGGTCCTAACTGAAAAGTAAGCATTAACATCAGCAACAGTCTTCCTTTAGGAAGTTTATATGTGATATAAGTAATAATAGAGGGAATAAAATGAAATCAAAATCTCCTTTCCACAATTCTCATCTGTTCTGTGCTACTGATGTCTTCATGTAAAAAGCTAATATATTCTTCAGTAATTGGAAGTCATAACTAATGTTTCTGGATAGAGCCAAAGAATATATTACATGTCTTTTATGTGAAGAATTTAACTATATTTTTAAAGCATATAATTAATATTACCTAATTTTTAAACCTGATTGCTTAAAAGAAGCCAGATAAGAGACTCACATAGTTGAAATTTTCCTAGAGGTAACACAAAAACTAACAACTGAGAGTTTCCAGTGCCTTAGATTTTTAACCAAGGAAAATGACTTGTGAATGATCAGATGAACAGTCTGTTAGCTTTTAAGGGTATTGAGTGCTTTTATCAGTTTACATAGCTTTAGAGACAGAATTAACATATAAAAGATCACTTTATCTACTAAATGGGTAATCATATATATCTTTTGATTATAAAATTCAGTTCCTAGGTTACAAATTACCTAAAATTGAAGAAAAGAATTGTGTATCTCATAATTAATTTTGACAGATGATCCTAATAATCTAGCATATCCTAGCTCCTTTACCTTTCTTCACTATTGGTGCATGATGACTTTAACATAAAAGCACTCTAATTAGCATTAGGTCACTGATGATTTACCACATTATTTGTTTGGTATTGAAAGATTTGTGTCTTATAGATGTTGAATTAAGACTGGAAAAGGGGCAGTTAGTAGAGTTATTACCACTGGTAGGCTACATAGAAGGGGAAATTGAAGAAGGAATTTTATATGAATATTAAGTCTTGGGGCTGGGGATTTAGCTCAGTGGCCTAAGAGCTTGCCTGGCAAGTGCAAGGTTGTGGGTTCAATCCCCAGTACCAAAAAATACCCCACGAATATTAAGTCTTATTTTCTCAGTGGTAAAATTTTTCTATATTATTGAGTGTAAATTATGTGTAAAATACTACTAGGCACCATAGTGATGTAGAAATAAATAAACTTTAATTTTTTGTGAACTTATAGACCCACATAGTTGGTCATCCGTGGCCATGGGTTGATCCTGCACCACCACAGATTGAAAATTATAGTTAGGCATAGTGGCACACGCCTGGATCCCAGCACTCTAAGAGACTAGGGCAAGAAGATGGAAGGTTCAGTCCTATCCTAGGCAGTTAAGCAAGACCCTCTCTTAGAATTTAAAAAGTCAAAAGAGCTGGGAATGTAGCTTTGTATGAAGGCCCTAGATTCAGTGCCCGGCATTGGGGGAAAAAATTGGACCTAATGTGATTGTATCTGTATTAAACATACAGAAAACTTTTTTTTTCTTCTCATTATTTTCTAAATACTATATTACAACAACTATTTAGAGGACTTACCTTGCATTTGGTGTCATAAGTAATCTAGAGATGAAGTATGTAAGAGAATGTGTGTACATTATCTACAGACACATCACCATTTGAGGGGTGGGGTGCATTGAGACAGGGACTCACTATGTAGTTCAGGCTGGCCTTGAACTTGCTTATGTAGCCCAGGCTGGCCTCGAACTCACAGTGATCCTTCTGCCTCAGCCTCCCAAGTGCAGGGATTACAGGCATGTGCCATCATACCCAGGACGTCACCATTTTATAAATTAGCTTCTCTTCGTTCTTATATTTTTGCAGGGCCCTAGTACTGATCATCTTTTAATACTAAAGGACACCGACAGTATCAGAGAATCAGCTTTCTGAAGGATGTAGTATTTCTACTGAGCCTTGAAGGATAAGATTCTTCAGAGAAAGTGGCAGGAATATTTCTGTTACATGTTCGAAAGCCATTCTCTAAGGATCCTCTGTGCTTAGAGAATAGTGAGGATTTGCAGGGAAATGGAGTTATGTCACAGCATGTTTTCCAATGATAGGTAGAGGAGTTTGCACTTAATTTAGTAGGCAGTAGGAATCCTTTGAAGATTTCTTGGCACTAGTGCCTATAAAAGTTAGTGAGTCTTTTTGAAAAATGCTAGCTGAAGTAGAGTGAATAGTAGAGTTGAGATTAGGCAGTAGTAATTTGTAATAATATTTATTGTTCTATTTTAATGCCAGATAAGAGTTTTACCTATAATTTTTCCTTAATCTTCACTACAGGAAAATTGAAAGAAGTAACCAAACTAATGTAACTAAACATTTAGCACAGGACTTGGGCATCATGAATTTCTGAACCAGACTGATTATAATACAAGCTTGGAGAAAATAGTGTCTTTTTTTTTTTTTTAGTTGGTGCCGGGGACCGAACTCATGACCGCCTGCTTGCAAGGCAGGTGCTTATGCCACTGAGCTAAATCCCCAGCCCCAGAAAATAGTATCTTGTCTGCCTTTGTGTACAGTAACTTTTTGTAAGGCTGTAGTGTTTATTGGGAACTCACAAGTTTAATAGAGTAAACCTACTTTTAAATTTTATTTCTTCCTTATATTTCTTTCTTATAATTGGTTAAACTTTAATGGGTGGGTGAATGCAGCTTACTTAATTTAAGGGCTTGAGAAAATAGTTTACCTTGAATAGTTCGCCTTGGGTAAAAAAAATGATCTGCTTTTTTTTGTTGGTATTGTTTCAGTTATGGGTTATAAATTAGGAATCCGTAAGTTTAAAGACCGTTAGTTGTATACATAATCATATGAGCGTATAAGTAACATTTAAATCAAAACATAACTAGGTGTTATCGTTCATATATCCTCATAACTCAACTTTTTAACAGTTTCAACATAAACAACATAGACTTTTGAGTTACTTGAAAATAGCTATGGTTGGCTAAGTGTAGATGCTTTGAAATAGCATTCTCTTGTACTGTGACTTTCCTCTCCTGCATATCAGAATGCAAGTAATGTTATGGGAAAATATACAGAGAATAATAATAGAGAAACATTTAGTCTGCCTTTATTCTCTTTCAGTTGCTTATGCTTATTCAGGTAATGTATTAACATACCGTATTTTTTAAGAAGTGGAATAGGACAGAATTGGACCTAATTCCTTTGAAACCCTTTCCTATGCATTCATATAAAAATGTCTCTTTTAAAATCTTTTTGTCTTTTTTTGTTATTTCATACATGGAAACTACATTTTGGTTTTTAATCAAAAATGCCATATAGGTCTTTGATATAATTATTTGGATATCTTACTCTGCAAATTAAAATAAAAGATGCATGTGTTCCTTCATATGACTATGCAGTGATTTGTTTATTCCTCATTGGATATTCAGGATGTTTTGATAGTATACAGTAAGGTGATTATCCTTGTATGTACCTCGTCATACATGTGTGTTTTTATCTTTTTAGGTGTTGAAAGTTTTATGGATACATAGATAAAAAACTCACAGTACTTTATTATTGGTAACAACTACCCACTTATACTATGTCTAACCCATGAATTTAAACATCACACTGACAGTGCTATCATATATGCGCGCATGCGCGCGCGCACACACACACACACACACACACACACACGTCTTGGCAACTGGCCAACAGTCCACTTGAGAAAATGCTAGTGAGTAGCCATGATATTAGAAAAAGAATAAATAGTTATGTGAGATGAACAGAAAAAATGGTAATCGGAGAAAGAGATTGAACCCACATGGGGATCAGCTGGTGAAACTTCTCATAACTTTCTGTAAATCTTCATATTGAGTTGCCCTTTATTAACCAGATTATTAAAATTTTTACCAGATTATTAAAATTTTCCTTGTATTAATAGGTTCATTATAAATACGAATGGTAGAAAGTGAATACTGGTTCTTTCAAGGGGTTTCATTTCTTTTCTCCTTTACCTTTTGCCTCTAAGAACATACTAACATTTAACTCCTTTTTAAAAATATTTATGTGCAGATTAGATTATACCAAAATTACAGTAAAGAGGGGCACTAAAAGGTAGCAGTTTCCATCCTAAAGCCTTAATTTATTGGAAAATAATTATAAGATATGAATTGGAAAATATATACTAGGTAGTCAATTATGTAATGTTTTGTCTCAGACTTATTGCACTTTTCTTAATTCTTAAAAAATGGTAGCACCCACCACAAAAACCACAATGCATAAGTTGCCAAGTGTGGCTGACTTGCACATTCCTTGTAGAAGAACTTAAGCCTGGTAAAGACTGGTAAACCTTTAACAATAAGAAATGATCAACATTTGTAGTCCTGAGGCAATGCATTAAATGAGAAAATCAGAAAATTTTCTTAAGAGGAGATAGTGTGGATCATTACATTACTTCAGCTAGTAAGGTTTACTAGTAAAAAGATATTTCTTTAGAAAGTAAGTTATTCCAGGTGCATAATGGTGAGGTAATCTATTTTTTGGTATCATAATCTTTTGCTATTTTCAAGCTTTTAAATAACACTAAAACTGAACATAATAGAGAATTAATGTTTGGATGACTGATTTGGTATGATTCTTTTACTTTAGTTTTGCAAATATAAGTAACATGATTCTATGAAGTTTATGCTAAAAGTTTACTATAATTCTTTTCTTTTTATCTTAAATGGTAATACTTGAACTTTAGGTTTTACTTACTAGATATAATTTGTTCATTTTGTCTTAGAAAAATAATTTGATATTACACATTTCTTTGAAAGTGCTTTTTGCCTTATTAGAATTATAATGGTCATACTTTAAGAGATATAAT